TGTAACTCTATAAACCCTGGGATCTTCCGCAAACGCTTGCATGCAGATATGAAGGGTGGTTGGGCGCAAAGATAGTGTAATTATCAAACAGCTGCAAAAAAGGAAAATACTGAAAAAACTTGACATTACTTCATCCACATACAGAAAAGACAACATTATGCCTTCACCTGCTTCAAAACTTTTGGCGACAACGTTAAGAACTGGATCACCTTCAACGAGCCTCATGGTAGCGTGCTCCAACGAGCTTCTATGTCATGTATTTTGTAAGAACGGAAATTCATCTACTGAACTGTACATTGTTGCGCACAACTCCTCCTGTCTCATGCTGCTACTTATCATAATTACCATCAATTTTTCAAGGTACCCTCATTTCTCTATATGAGTATACTTCCTCACTCAAACAGTAATCGTTATGCTGTATGTTAAAAGAAAACAAAGAAAATGTAACTTAGGTTTTTCTTATTTTTAATGGATTCATTGGATGTCGAATGGTATGAGCATGTACCTGATAAAGAGGAGGACATAGATGCAGCGCGTAGAGCAATTGATTTCTCATTGGGATGGTAACTTCTTTGTAAATGTTTTATGCAGCATGTTTAGGAGATTCTGAAAATTGTGTTTAAACTCGCGTAACACAGAAAAGTTAAATCAGGTTCCTTGTTCCACTATTTTTAGGCGAATATCCGCTTTCAATGAAGATACTTGTAGGTTAGAGATTACCAGAGATTTCTCAGGAAATCTCAAAATTCCTAGTTGGAACCATGGACTTTGGCCTAAACCACTACACCACATTATATACTCAAAACGACAGGACTCAGATTCGAAAGTTCGTAACAGGACTCAGATTCAAGCATCACAAAATTGATGGCAATCCGACAAAAGTACATTGCAATTTTTTGCAACCCATATTGCTTCGATTAAACTTTCAATTAACTGTGTTTCTGAACAAATGAAAAATATATAATTTCTGGAGAAAAGAACCAAGGAGCATGGCAAGAATGGAAACGATGGGGTTGGAACCGTCGCAGCCTAAGATTGTTGTCCGGAAAGAACACATATTGTAGTTTGTGTTGTGCGAAAAGCCTCAGCAAGCTACCGAATGGTGTTAGTTTTGGGCTACTTGCATAAGTTGTTGGCTTAATCCAAATAGGAGGTGTCAAGTTGCAGGAGATAAAAATCTAATTTTCCCTCACTAGTTTTGCAAGTACCATCATGCAATTGGAGCCTTAATCTACCAAACTAGATCTACATCATAATCGCTCAACTTTGACTAGAGTTTTGCTACAATAGACATTTGAGGTGCGTTTGTTGCACCGGACTATCTCGGACTGGACTAGCTTCAGGGACTAAGCTTGACTGGCTTAGATTAGACTAAATTGGACTAACTTAGTAAAGCGTTTAATGTAGTATCAGACTAAAAAGCTGGACTAACTTCTAATTCTAGTTCAATTCCTAGGCTTCCAATTAAATTACCTATTTTCCTTTTATCTTTGACATTAATACGTAGAATGCAATTAGCCAAAACATCAACCTGGAATCCAATTAATCAAGTTTATGATCTCTTATTTTCTTAGAAACCAAACATAATATACATACATATAATTAAGAAACATAATTCGCCACACAAAATGCATTTGGATAAACAAAGATTGGAGCTTTTAAAAAAATATTTTTATCCTAACTGACCTGCAGAAGATTTCGATAGCTGGACAAAAACTGAAGTTGGTGATTGAACAAGGTCGAAGTTTTACAAGGAAAGAATAAGATAATAAATAGGTGAAAATTTTCATCTTTTTAGATTAATTAAATTTTTAATTCTTATTTTGTGGACTTTCTTTTTCTTGTTTTGGGAGAAAAATGGAGCACTGTCAGTGCATGAAACTCTCTGGGATTCATGCCCCCTCAGAGCAAGTCCACTGTTGGACCTTGCTCAGGGGACAGGCGAGAGGAAATGGCCCGAGGGCCGATGGGTTCGACTCCAGCGTTAGGCAGCCCGAGTGAGGGTGGGAGCCCGAGGGCCAAGCCCATGAGGGATTGACAGCCTTTCAGCCCGAGGGGTGTGACGCCAGGCTGACGTCATGCCTGGCGTCGGTGGTGGACTATGTAGCCTGTACATGCTGTAGCATGACGATGACGACCTCGATTTTAATCCGTACGTATTGTCCGACTTGGACGAAGAAACCCACCACTCGATTCCGAAGAACTGGAACTAGAATGCATCGGGAACTCTTTCTGATGGCTGCATCTTAAATTTTTCATCTCGAAACCTGGCATGGAATATCATCGAATACGAAGTTCTCGGCAATGGGTTCGTCAATGGAACTGTAAATGGAGTCAAGAAGGGCGGAAGAGAGATGGGTTATCTTTGCTATGTCTTTTGAAGTGTCCATCTCTATTTTCTGGGAGTGATTTGATATCCCACATCTCCATTTTTGTCTAGTTTTGTAGTGGTTCAAAATAGAGAAATGGGAAATAGATGTTCTGGGTTTTTCATGATTTTAAATTATGGAGCTCTCCCTGTTATGTATGCTCGACCATTTTTCATGATGTTAAAAAAAAAAGTTTTAAAATTAAAAAAAGTTACCGTTGTGACACGTAGCACAATCTGGAGTGTTGGAATTCAATTGTTTTTAAATCCAACGGCAGAGATTAATTATCCGAAATTATAAATTTATTTAGTATTATTTTGTAAAAAAAATTAATAATATTTTATTGCATATTGCCAGGGCTATTCAAGTGCGATAGTGGAGATACAAAAGGTAATTACTATTCATTATTGCAGTTACTGTTCACAGGGCGGATTGAATAGTGGATTGCCTGGGGGGAGGGCTCCAAGGGTAGAGTTGCTCTCAATGGGCTCTGGTATGTTATAAACGAATCTAAAAAATCTCAAGCATAATAAAGAAACCCTGAATTCGAAAATGAAAACTAATTAAACGGATAACTCGCAAATGAATTAGAATGGATGAGAGATTAGACGGCGATGACAAGCTTCAACATTGAGAGTAGAGTCGCTGCCGCTTTTGCTGCTACTGCTGATCTTCAACGTTGAGGACGATGACAACCCTCCATGCTTCTCTACTGATTTTGTCGACCGATTTTCAATTAGGTTGTGGTGTTTGGGTTTTCGTTTTGGGTTTTCTCTGAACAGCGAAAAACTCGAGACGCTCTCAGTGGGATGGGTGAAGCGAGGAAGGTGAAGCAGATGGGAAGGGCGAAGTGAGGAAGATGAAGCATATGGGATGGGCGAATCAAGGATGGACGAAGCGGTCTTAGTAGCCCGCTCTGCTTCGACATGTCTCGCTAAGAACGACTAACGAAACGTTTAGTCCATTCGAGTCTCACTTTTGTCTTATTAAACTTAGTCTCTACATCTAACAAACAAGAGATTGGAGTAGCACTTAATCTAGTCCAGTCCAATGAAAGCTAGTGAAGGCAAACAAACATACCCTTAGGGATTCAAAAGTGCTAAAAAAATGTGTACATCAAAAACGCATTTTGATTGTGTTTGACATAAATATTTATGTTTTGGTTGTCATAGAAATGACTTTTATATCCAAAGAAGATGTCAAAAATGTCAAATAGACAAAAACAGACATTTTTAGTAGTAAAAGTGGCTCTAACCGATGAGCTAAATGTTGACTTGGATTGAATGAGTTGTTTCCAGCCTAAATTTGGTCCCTAAGATGGAAAATCAATAGAAATAGTCTCTGAGATTGTCCACCATCCATTATTTTGGTCATTCCGTTAAAAACTCTATTAAGTGTCCCTGAGTTCTTGACCGAAAGTTTGGACAATTTTCAAAGCTTCGTAACTCAATCATTTCTTAATCAAATTTGACCCATAATATATCAAAATGAAGATAGGAAAGTGTAGAACAAGATTATACCTATTTGGAAGCCCAATGGTTGCCGGAGATGGTCAAAAAATAGCCTAAAAGGTGATTGGTCCGCGAGAAAACTGAAAAACTCGCCGGAAACTGGATAAATTTAAACGTTCATAACTTCTTCAATACTCAACGAAATCAAGTGATTCAAAAACAAACATCATACTTTTCAATGAGATGAAGAGAATGGTACCTTCTTGACGGCTAATTTGCCTTGGTTTGGCAGGAAAATGACTCGAAAGTGGCCATCGTGAGACCAAGACAACCACTTTCGAGCCGTTTTTAAGCCAAACCACTACGATTTAGCTGTCTAGAAAGATAACATTCTCTTCGTCTCATCGAGAAGTATGATTTTCATTTTTGAATCACTCGATTTCATTGAGTATTGAAGAAGTTATGAACGTTTAAAGTTTACTCAGTTTCTGACGAGTTTTTCAGTTTTCCCGCGGACCAATCCCCTTTCAGGCTATTTTCTGGCCATCTCTGACAACCATTGGGCTTCCAAATAGATATAATCTTGTTCTACACTTTCCTATCTTCATTTTGATATATTATGGGTCAAATTTGGTTAAGAAAAGATTGAGTTATGAAACTTTGAAAATTGCCCAAACTTTCGGCCAAGAGTTCCGGGACACTTAACGGAGTTTTTAACGGAATGACCAAAATGATGGATGGTGGACAATCTCATGGACTATTTCTATTGATTTTCAATCTCAGAGACTAAAGTGATATGTTATGCAAATTTCAAAGTTCATTTTGGCTAAAAAGCTTAATATAAAATCAAACTTTATGACATATTGGATGGACTCATAAAATTTGGATAAACCATCAAATTTAAATTTAATGTTTTGTATCTGACATCTTCTTCAAGAGAGATTTTTCAAAATATTAAAAACACGACTGGTACCCTATATGTAATAATATAATTAATTAAAAACTTAAAAAATAAAATTTAAACAATTAAATTCTGCATCTGGTATAACAGATTATTCTCAGCACACTAAAAATTTCACCTCGTTTAGAGATGCTCTAAAGAAGCACCCGGAACTTTTGTTGACATGCTTCTAACAAAACGGTAAAAGCAAAAGGATTTATTCTGAAGGCGGTCCCAAATGCGAGGTCCACACAACCTGCAGACATAAAATCTGATACATAAAAACACCACTCAAAGCTACCTTTCAATTATCCTTCGTTCCTTGTCTCTCTCAAATCTCACCTCACTAATAAATAATTATTAAACACAACAGATATAAACAAAAATAACGTTGCTATCTGTCCCTGTTTCGCTTCCCTTTGCTTCTTGTTATCAAAGCTCTAATTGTGTGCCGGCATTCGGTTCTTCCTCGCAGAGTAGTGTGCCGGTGCTATTTCGATTCTTGCCCATGAAACGAGGGTACTCGGAATCGTCCTCCACCTCTCTCGGGCCTCCCCAATCGAGATTCAAACACAACCCAGAAGGTAAATAACATAAACCCTTTTGTTTTCTGGTTCCGATTTTTTATTCCTTGTGCTGAATTCGCAATCTTTTTGGTTATTTTGGGAGTTTTTGGATCTGGGTTTTGTGGGTTTTTGCTGATAAAGTGAAGGAATTTGAAGAGAATTGTAACAGTTTGAACCTTTTTTTCTTATTTGTTTGTGTTTTGGATTGCCAGTTTACCCTTTATTCAATTATTCTGTGTGCCTGATTACTAGGGTGATTCATTCGAACCTGGGATTTTTAGTTCCCCAACTTATTTTGTAACAGAGGAAACTGAGAAGAAGGGAATGTGACTATAATTTTGAATTTTCTAATTCTTACTATATTTTATAGCAGAAACAAAGGAAAGCAAATATGTATGTTTTCTTTTTTGCCTATGTGTGTGTGTAATAGCCAACAAAGGACAATATATCTTCATGTTTTTCTAATCATGGTTTATTACTTTGTGGTCTTAGGTGATTCAGAATTCTTGGAGGATGAAACCACAAAAAAATTCGCACGTAAAGTGGCCGATCATTACAGTGCAAGGACGAATCAAACTCTAGAAGAACGAGAAGCTAGTCCAATCATCCATTTAAAGAAGCTTAACAATTGGGTTTGTCTTTTAGTCTTCTAAATACTCCAAAATGGTTTGATCACACTCCTTACTTTTTAGTTGATTATAGTTCCTTATCCTGTTGACCAGATTAAGAGTGTTTTAATCCAGCTATATGCTCATAGAGGAGATGCTGTCCTGGATCTTGCATGTGGCAAGGTATTGCTGGTTCATTTGTATATTTTCTCTTACCCTTCCTTCCACTAAACGTTCTCTTTTGAATGTATTCTATTGGCTAGGGAGGTGATCTCATCAAATGGGACAAGGCTAAAATTGCGTATTATGTTGGAATTGATATCGCTGAAGGCTCGGTAAGTACTTAAATTTGGTTATACTTAGCTTATTTGTTATCATTTTTCTTTTTGATAAAAGCTTTGTTGGGTCTGTTTAAGCTCTTCATCGTAGTCAACTAGTTATCTTTTAATGGAGTAGAAAAATTGATTCGAGGACCATTTTTTGCTGTATTTCTACACAGCCACTAACCTACATTTCAGGATGTGTAATTTTGCATTAGTAGTAATAGACTTCTAGTTGCCTGACATTATAGCTTTTGTGAATTGTCATCTATTCTATTCATCAATGTTGGAAAATTTGCATTAGTACTTATTGACTAATATTTGTCCTACATTATTGCTATTGTGAAGTGTCCTCTATTCAATTCATTAATGTTTGGGAGAAATTTTATTTGCAATAGTTATTTAGTTTTTATTTGGTATGGAAGGAAAGTATTTTCCTTGTCAAACGAGGTATGAGTTTGGCAGACTGTATCATGTGGACAAATCCAGGTTAGGATGATATGGTATTGTTCCGTAGGTGAGTTGAGACTTGAGAGGGTTTAAGGCTATTTTTCCGACCTAAGCAACTTCTGTTTTTTCTTTGCTTGTGATTTACTTTTAGTTTTTCTTTTATTTGCACCATCTCATCATGTAGTGATAGATTTCCCAGTTTTTATGACAGTAAAGATCTTTTTGAATGTCATCCTTCTCTTTCATGTATGAAATATTCTTTATGTGTATGTATTTGTCTGATGAAAAATGAGTGACATTTTTTCTCAAGACCTTAGCAAGAATGTTGGAAGTCATTTTTGCTGTCTGCCTCTTGCCTACAGTGTTATTATTTTTAAAAGTGAGCCGTCATCAACCATCTTATTATTGTGTTCAAATATTTGTACAGATAGAAGATTGTCGTACCCGTTACAATGGCGATGCCGACCATCATCAGCGTCGTAAAAAGTTTACATTTCCTGCGCATCTTATGTGTGGAGATTGCTATGAGGTAATTGCAAATTTAATAGCTGCTAACTAAGCCATTGTTTTGTTCCTAGGGAGCTTGCCTTTGCTTCACTCTATCAAAAAAGAAGCCATTAGGAAGCAGCATATGTGGAAACGCTGCGTGGTGCTTGTATACCATATGATTATTAATGCTATGCATTTGCATGGTTTCAGGTTCGCCTGGATAAAGTCCTGGCTGACGATGCCCCCTTTGATGTTGTCAGTTGCCAGGTGAGCCTCTTGGGCACTAATGGCTTTCTAGTTTCTACCTTATACTGTATAGTAATTAAAAGATTTGAGGGGAGGAAAGCCTTTGAAACAGACCCATTAAAACACATTTTATTTTGCAGTTTGCCTTGCATTATTCCTGGTCTACTGAGGCACGTGCACGGCGAGCCTTGGCTAATGTATCTGCTTTACTGCGACCTGGCGGTACTTTTATTGGAACAATGCCCGATGCGAATGTGATTATCAAAAAGCTTAGAGAAGGTTTATTTTATTCCTTGTTGATTCATTTCCTTTGAGAGTCATGTTAAACTGTGACCTAGGAAACGGAAACAAATTTGACACTCTGATAACTGCAGTCATTTGTCTCATAAGCAATATTTTCTCTCTGGGCGAGTAGATGGTGAAATTCATTAGATATACGTATTTCCCATTTCATTCTCTTATGTTTCGCATTAAGATTCTTGGGCATAGCAGACTACTTTAACCATTATTTATCGGAGATCCTATTTTCGTTGTGATGTCCAGCTGAAGGATTGGTCTTTGGTAATAGCGTCTACTGGATACGTTTTGATGATGACTTTTCTGAAAAGGTATGACTTTACTCAGATGCTTTGTTTTTCAATTTGGCTATTCTCCAACCTGAGACATTAGAATCTATAAACTATTTGTAATTATTCCTAATTTGACAAATACTTCTTGTATGGCTGCAGAAATTCAAGTCTTCGAGCCCCTTTGGTATCAAGTACAAGTTTCACCTGGAGGATGCTGTTGATTGCCCGGAATGGATTGTCCCCTTTCATGTTTTCAAATCGCTGGTTGAAGAGGTATACTATCTTCTTTCATCCTCTTGAAATTGCTATTAAGGTTATCAGCACAAACGGTGACAGAAGTGCATTCAGAAGCACACACTGCTATGTGATAGGAGCTATCTGAAACGTTTTCCTACTTGTTAGGCTAAGAATCTTCTCGTATTCATATGAATGAATTCACCTTTTGCAGTATGATATGGAGCTAGTTTTTGTGAAGAACAACCACGAATTTGTTCATGAGTATATGAAAAAGCCAGAATTTGTGGAGTTAATGCGGAGGCTTGGTGCATTAGGCGATGGTAACCAAGATCAAAGTAAGTTTGTTGCCTATCAACTGTGAAAATATGGTTTCGGTTGCTTGTGTCTGATAATGCATCTCATTCCGCTTGTCAATATCCAGGCACACTATCGAAAGACGAATGGGAAGTAGCTTATCTCTATTTGGCATTTGTCTTGAGGAAGGTGAGCGCACGCTCGTTGTACCCCGATGCGATCTTTCATTATTGTGTTGCTGTTACCATTATTGTAGTCTGTTTGCATTTGCTGTGTGTTAAATCTGTGTTGTTTTCAGCGAGGGGAACCTGGTCGGACACAAGTAAACGGTAGAAGAGACAAGGGGAAGATGAACATATCAAAGGAGGACGTCATGTACATAAGTAATGACTAGTGCAACACCAATGATGTCTCGAAGATCCATTTTTTCGGCAGAAGAGGAGAATGATCGGCAGCACAGGAGAAACGTGTTTGCCAAATGGGAAAGCCCAAGAGCCCGAATCCCCACAATGTTCGACTGGCTACTATTTTTTTTTTCCTGAGTACAAGGATATATTTTTACACTAATGAGAGGAGGAGAATAGTTAAGTCACACAATGGATAACCTAATTTGGTATCGAATTCGTTATCCATGATATTCGAACCTAAGATATTTTACTTACAGGGGATGAGAAATACCACCAGACCGTAGTGCTGAGTGACTCAACTAGCTACTATCAGCTTTGTAGATTTACAAAGATCCAAGATTTAAGATTTGTAACTTTCATCGTAATCAACGCTCCGTCGGAAATAACAGTTTGTAGTTATAAGAAATGGTTTTAACCACTCAGAAGTGAACCCCAGCCAAATGTATCAAATGAATTACATTGTTTACTCTTTTTACCTTGTCTTTTATTTGTGGCGTTTAACGACGTTTATCTATTCGCATGCGATCCTGTGTTCGATTCTCTCTCTTGGTCAATATTCGTTTTATCTCTCTTGGTCAATATTCGTTTCATAAAACTGAAAACAAAATTATATTAAAAAACAAGGAACATGTGATGAAAAAACTGTTTGAATTCACAGCGCAAAGCCAAAAAGAAATAAAACTTCAACCAGTGCAGGGTCTGTTTGGTACTCTATTTGAATCTAACTTTTTAAACTTAAAAACAATTTTCAAGTTTTAGACCTTATAAACTTGTTTGATATGACTATTTTAAAAAACTGAACTCAAGACTGACAAAAAAATATAGTCTATTCTCTAAAAACATAAAAAGTGAGTTTTTAGAGTTTTAAAACTTAAACTCACTCATTTCTTTTCGCTCCCTCCTCCTCTCTCACTCCAAATCTATCCCTCTATCTTTTCTTTTTTCCCTCTCCTCTTTTTTTACCTTTTTCGTCTCTTCTCTAATCTGCTCTCTTCATCCTCTCGGTTCTTTCTCTCACCCATCTTTCTCTCTATCTCGTCCGATCCTCTTCTTTCTCTTTCCTTCAATCATCTCTTACTTTCTTTCATCCTCTCTCCTCTTTCTCCCTCTATTGCAACCCCCTCTTTTTAGATCTCTTTGTCTAGTTGAAGTTATAAGATTTAAAATTTTTAAAACACAAACCAATCAAGTTTTTTAGTCTTAAAGAAAATTGTTTCAAGAAATGTTCTTAAGAAATGTTTTGAGAAATAATAAAAAATTTCAAATAGAATACCAAACAAGTCAAGATCAAGCATTCTAAACGCATAACTAGTCAAGATCAAGCATTCTAAACGCATAAATCATAACGAAAACCTTACAACAAAACATTCACAGAAAGTTGACCATAACAATAATCCGAGCACCGAAGCTGCATAAGCTGTACATGCTATCTAACTAGCTTCTCTATTTGATTAAACGATCAGTTAAATCATTTATCAACAGAAAAAGAAAAAGATGTACTTACACTAAAGAAATACACACGCAGCCTGCTCATCTGATGGCAATACTTTCGGCATCAAATTTGTTTTTATTTATTCCACAACGCTCATTAGGCAGAGATAAAACACATTTGGGATTGTTTTTTCGGCAGATTCACCTAGAATTAACTAGCCACGCTTCAGCAAGACCACCATAACAACCATAACTGCTAGTCCCATGAACGCAGATGCTACAACTGACTTTGTATTCCCTCCATCTGCTTCAGTCTCACCTGCAGGGGGTTCGAAAATGTTCTGGATGAATGACGACAAATCGCTGACCCACTTCTCCACTGTCATCTTGATTTTCTTCACAAAACCACCGAGCATATCTTCCAAGCGGTCAGATTTCTCTGATTCGTCTTCAAGCTTCTTGTGTGAAACTGGATAGGTATCTGCTGCATATTCTTCCATGTAATGATTATAGTTCTTGTTGGCCATAAATTGCTTGACCGCAGAATTTTCCATCATAGCATTCCAGATATTCGGGTCACTTGCAATTGAAGCAACAACATTCTGGGGGAATGAAACCGAGAAAATAAATTAAGTCCGCTAACAAATTATACAAAGCCATCCATCTTTACATTTTAAGAAGAAAAGTCACATGCCAAATTTCATGTTCAAAGAAAGGCAATGGATGGAATCAATTACCTGAGCTTCAGAACTTTGACTCAGCATTTCAAATGCCCGAAGAGCATGTTTCGGCACTGAAGTCCTAGTAAGAAGTAGGGATTCCATCTCCTCAGGTTCAGGGTTTGTGATCAGAGACAGTCCAGCCACATTATCAGCAGCAGACTGCTCCCCAAAATCAGTAGATTTGGGTGAAGAAAGATATACCCTGAAAGTTCATGTACAGTACGCGTGATAGAACGAATGTTCGTCTACAGATTATACATATAGATCAATAAAATAAAGGAAAGCTCTTTAAATCTAAAAAATTTGGTGCCTCATAACGGTCCAACCGATCACGCTTATAGAAGGGGAAAACTTTGGACCTCCCAAAATACGAAATCACAAATACAAGCAAATGTTCAACGAAGACATCTACGGATCAATCGACGTCATGTGGATAACCAGAAATTGTTAATTCCATTCAAAAACCAATAAACTCAAAAAATCTATTTTCTTCACACCGAAACCATTTCCATAATTAATTTCTTCCAAATTTTACCCAAAAAAAGTACATAATTTCTTCACCCATTCATATACAACAACAAAATCGGCTTCAACAATTCAATAATTTCATTTATCCCAAATGAAAAATTCCCAAAAACTAGAAAAGCACAATCTCAAACATTCGCTTTCTATTTTGCAATTTCTAATTCAAATAAATCAATTCCACAAGAAATGTAAATTTCCAATAATTGCGGAAAAGTAAATTTTCATAATTCTGCAATTTTCTCTCTTACTTTTCTCGTTAACCAAACAGAGCATAACACAAGCTACACAAAATAGAATGGAAATTCATTGGAAAATATAAACAATAAATAACACAGTTAAATTAATTTATCATTTTAATTTGTGGAGAAATTATACTTATCGAGGGCGTCTTTCAATTCAGCGGTAGCCTCTTTGGCCTCCTTGAAGCTCGGCGCAGCGTCGAAGACAACCCTCGGCATCGGCTCGCCGCCCGACATCACCAGATCATCTTCTCCGGCCCCGACCACCTGCCAGTCGACAAATTCGTCGCCCGCGTCCCACGCAGGCTTCTCAATCGCCGCCACTTCAGCTCCGCCGTGATTCTGAGCCGTGAGGGTCACTGCCACGGGAATTGAGGCCTTGCGGACCGAATGGCCAGTCGGCGAAGAAACGCCCGGCGCGCCGCGGAGCATGCCACCGTGGACAACGCCGCCGATCCCGGCCACCTTTGCCACCGACCTCATGACTCCGCCACCTCCCATAATTTTTTACGGCTGTGAGAGTGGTAAAACCCTAGAAAGTACAAACCTGAAACCTCTCGCGCTTTCTCTCTCTCGCCGATTGATGTTTATCGGAGGATAATCGGATTTATACGAATTTGTGGAGGAGAGAGAGTGTGTGGGGAGAGAGAGAGAGAGAGAGAGAGAGGGAAAGAAAAGGATTATTTATTTATTTTCTTTTTTGTGAGAAATTGAATGGAAACGTAATCTGAAAGAAAAATAATGGAAATGATATGAAACTTTGAGTTTTAACGATAAGGACAAAATAAATAGTAAAGTAAATAGTTAAATTTTTAGTGTAAAAATGTAATTTTTCGTTAAAATAAACAGTATTGACAATTTTTTATTAAAGTTCCTTTTGCGAGGAAATTTCCGTATTACCTCGACGCAGCACTGTCATCTTTAATGATCGCTGTTGGGTTGCCACGTGGATTATTAATATTATTTTCGTTAACTTGTTTTTGGTTGCCGTTCTTTTAAAGTATCTTCGATTTTTTATTTAATTAAAACTCGATATTTTCAATTTATCCAACTTTTTTTAGGTTTTATGTTTAATTTTAAAAATAATTTAAACCAAGAACTAGAAACTGAAAAACAGAGGTCGTAGTTACGCGAATACTCAAATGAGGACAGAAAGAAAGTAAAATTTTATCATCGATTCGATGTACGGCATGCATTCAATATTAAAGGTAACGTTTTTATTTGGTCAAAAAGTTCAAGAAATTCAACTGCCTAAAACTCTGGTGTATATTAGTGACACAATGATTTGGCGCATAGTAGAAAAATTTGTAGATGAATTATTTTTTCTTTGTTAGAATTTTTATTTAACTTCTTTTAATTTTATATAAAATAGGTAAGATTTATTGTGTGACATGCAAGAATGATGTTTAAATAGAATTATCTTAATTTCTCAAATTTAGCATTATCATTATTATTCATTTAAGTGTGCAAGATTCAAAGTTTAGATCATTTTACATTCAAGTTTATGGAACGATTTATCTATAAGTTTAAGCACTCTTTAGGGTTTGAATTCGATATCAAATTAGGTTGCTCATTATGTGATTTAGCCAAACTTCCCCTCCATTTAGTGTAAAAATATCGATGTATTAAAAAAAAAAAAAAAAAAAAAAAGCTCTCTTTAGGGTTTTCTATATAAAAGATAGAAGTATGAACATCAGTTTTTTTTTCATTCCGATTTTCATTCATTTTCTATATATATATATTGGTATTCACAATGCAGCATCCTACTCACATGGTTCAAAGAAATTATGGTCAGTTATTGTTCGATTTTAATTCAACCATAGAGGAGAAAGTATGATAAAAGAAGTTAAATGACCACTCATTTGTAAATTAAGATCGAACGTTAAGTGACCATAATTTCCTTAGATCATAAAATTTAGATGAACGGAACCATCAAAATAAGTAATTTTTTTTCCAGCTACAACAGATACGTATTTTTAACTTCTCCATTTCGAATTCAACTCTTTGAGGCCATCACCATTGAGGCCTATCCCCATTGCCCATTGTGCTTTCTTTGAATCGCTACTCATTTACCCGCACTGGGATTTGCCTCTGTTGACAAGGATTTCATTTTATCTCCCAAAAAATCAAAACACCAACGTTTTAAATCAAAACAAACTTACACAAGCTAAAACAACTAGGAAAATGAGGCCCATCCCAAAGAGTCCATTGCCAATGAAACACTCCGAACTAAAACTATTTCGGTAGTTGAGCCAGTCATGTGGCTTGTATTTTATGGGGATTAAGGTTTCATCAGATGTTTTTCCTTTTGGGCTTTCTGCTTTTGATGTCTTCTTGTATTCGTTTGCTGCTGGTGCCCTTATCTCACCTTACCATTTTTGTGGATTTCACATCTGCAGTGGTGAGTTGTGTAGTTCATGGGTCACATTTGACCCATCCTTTGATCGCTTGATGATGACGTTGGTTGCTGGTTCTGGTAAGATGCTACAACACCATTCTCTGCAGATCTCCTGTCGAGGCTTCAATCCCCTCTTTGGTGTTCAAGCTTTGGCGACGACGGTAATAGAGAGAGAGAGCAGAAGTTGATAGGGCTTCTTTGTGTTTTGGTTTTTTCTGTTGTGGGCTCCAATTTCTGTATTGGGCTCTAACTTTTGTTTGTATAGAGGGTCCATTCTTATGTTTAGTGCTTACTTTTGCATTTGGGTCATTCCTCTATTTTGTGCTTATGTTTGTATTTGGACCTCCTTTTCTATAATATTGCTTTGTTGGTAATGAATTTAGCTTTTCAAAAAATAAAAAAAAATTCAAAACGCTTATCCTAGACATTTTCAAGTTGGTTAAAGCAGTATACTTCACCTTCCATATTCAAGTTTAAATTTTGAGGTTTGGTCTACCTAGCAAACATGCACACCTTCAAGTTTAAATTTCAAAACCATTATCATTTTTTTAAGGTACACTTTTGATGCGGTCTCTAGCTATCAATATTCTTTGATTGAAACCTTGTTAGTGTTTAGTTTTTTATTGAGGTCCCTGACATTAATGTAATAATGTAAGTTACTATATATTTTAAATTGAAAACTAAAAATTGAAATTTGTAATTGTTTATATTAATGAGATTTTAAATAAAACCCATAATTTATGGGATTAAAAATAATAAAATATAAATTATACTCTCTATTATATTGTGTGTGTGTGTACATATATGTATGGGTACATTAACCAAAATTAACAAAAAAAGTTATTGTACCAAAACATGGATACATTCTCAAATTAACGAAAAAGGAATGTACCCATATAAGTTTAAACATGGACTAAAAAATTTGAATGGATTTTATATTAAAAAAAAGGTACATTTTACATATAACAAATTGATATATTTGAGAATGGGTACATTTAAGATTAAAAAAATTAAAAAATTATATGAATGGATACATTTAAGATTAAAAAATTGAGAATCTTTATATATATATATATATATATATATATATATATATATATATATATATATATATATATAAACTAATAGGTACAAACTTAATTTAATTTAATTTTTTATTATTTTGGAAATGTTTGAATTGAAAATTAATTAGAAGTAATTAATAGAGGTGTGAGTATTAAACCCTAAATTAATTACTAATTTTTATATTAAAAAATTATATAATAAACATGTAAATTCATTATCACATAAATGCTAGGGACTTGAATCAAAATTTGAGAACTAATAAGGTCTTAGTCAATGAACAGTAAGAACTAGGGATCGGATACTAATTTTTCCTTTTTTAATAACAATACTTGAGTAATGACCGGTCAGTACCCAATAAATTGACCTTGTTATGTGGCACAACAAGAAAATAACACATGTCTTTCTTTCTTTAACTCACAAAACAACCTGTCGGGAATATTTTTGCTCACTACCCTATGTATCACCATTAAATAAGTTTTAATTTTGAAATTTATGTAGTGGATAGACACAAATCTCACAATTGAAACTCATTCCTTGATAATAAATAGGATGATGAACATTATCACCACTACCGCCACTTGAGGTGGTGAGCTAAAAGGCACCCATATCCCATCAACTATTTTGGTAGCAAACATGCACTCATTCTACTGAACCAACACCTTTATTCTCTCTCACCCAAAATTGCCCAACATTCTGCTTTCACTCTATCGAAAGTGAGACTGGAGTTTTCTGCCATACGTAGTAAGAAGCTGGAGAGCATCACCACAACTTTTGTTGCTCTGGTATTTCACTTGAAACAAAGCTAAACCAGCACCAAGAACCCAACCCCAAACCGAAATCGAAAACCTAAATCGCAGAAAGCGAGTTTATGAATTGGATTTTTGGTTTCAGATCAAAATTGAACAGGAATGTATGTTGCTGAATATGTTGATGAAGGAGTTATTAGTGACAAGTAAGACCATCTTCAAAGAAGATGTTATATCCTATGTGGAATATCATGCAATCCAATTTGAAAGTAGAAATAAGCTCCAATTGATATGTTAATCTTATAGATTGACATATGAATTCTTTGTTGTGATCAATTTTGAAATATGAGAAAAGGTGTTGTCAATTAATTTTTTTAATTATTTTATTGTGTGGTCTCATTAATGCATCAATCATAAATCTTGAAAATTTAATTTAATTGATTTCTTTTTAAAAATGAACCCTACAAATATCATTTATAACAAAACTATATATATATATATATATGTTGGAGAAAGAGAAAATTTGATATTACCACGTCAATCATTAAATAAAGGGGTGTGCTATCCACACACCCCAAATTACTTCTCACACACCCTTGTTAATTTTTATCCTTTAATTTTCTTCAATTTATCCGATCCAACGGCCGAAAATTGGAAGGGTGTGTGAGAAGTAAAATGGGGTGTGTGGATATCACACCCCTAAATAAATATGTATATGTATCTTTCGAAATCTCCATTAAAAAATGCTCTAAACCGTCAGATCAAAAGAGGAGATGGGCTTGGGTTGGTGGGGTAGACGAAGAACCACGGTAGGATATGTCATGGCAGTTTGGAAGGGAAGGAAGAAGAAACATGGTGTCTGGTTATAGGTTCAAAAAGAGTGGTGGATGTTTGGTTAGCAAGATATAGTTTGATATTATAGGTGTTAAAGTTTTAGTGGCCTCGTGAGATTGTCAACAAATTGGATAGTTCGTTGAGTAGTACCCAAATATTAATTTATTTAAAGGTATTACTAGATTAGATGTTAGATTAGAGTGTCGACGGGGTTTGAACTCACGTCGTAGTGTAAGGGCAATACTTATCTTCACCATTGTGGCAGAGGGCCACTTGCAAAGCTATTACTAGATGAAATTGTGTGTGTAAATATAAAAATTTTAAAAAGAAAAAAAAAAGAAAAGAAAATTGTTATTAGCATTCCAAAATTCTTATTCTACTCTCTTAGCAAATATATTTTTCCTTCTAATTATAGAAAGCTTAAAATGCAAAATGAGATTTTTTTAGTACTAATAACAATTCTCGAAAAAAATATCTGAAGTTTGAGAGAGAGAGAGAGAGAGAGAGAGAGAGTGGGGGCTTTTTTTATTACTATTTTTAATTAGTGATACTATGATGGCATATAAGTGAGGATTAAAAAATAGCAAAATTTGATTTACATACATTACTGCCCAATATTTTATTTTGTGATAAAAGATCAAATT